CCAAGGTCGGCAACAGGCGGCTGAGCTCCTCGACTTGCGTGCGGAGAAGCGAGCGCTCGGTCATGAACCGATCGCGGTGGCGCTTCTGCTTCATGCGATTGCGCATCCGTTGGTGCTCGGAGCGGCGTGCGCCGTCCTTGTTATCGTCGAGCACACCCATGGCATTGTGTTGCCAATGGACGCATAACGGCCTATATTGCACTGGATTGGCTGAAAACGAGCCAATCGCAGCGCGTCTTTTGACGGGCGTGACTAACCCCGTGAGAAAACGACGTCCGCACAAGGTACAGGTATTACCGGTATTACAATTCGTTGTGGCTGTGATGATGGTCCAGAGTCCACCTGCACATACACAGCTAGGCGCCATGAGATTTCTTGAGCTACATGATCGATTACTACTAGTATGGCGAAAGCGGTCGCCGTCAACGCGACCCCAGACGTTTTGGATGGCTGCGGGCGGACTTTGACCGGTGCCACACAAATTACCACCAGGAAGAAACGAGGAAGAAGATTTCTGGTCACGAGACCATGTGTACTTTCGTGCGTCTGCTCGTGTATACGACAACACGGCCGGAGTTCAAGAACAGCGAGGGAGACGCAAGCGTGTGCACATGGATGCTTGTCGCATTGGTCGCGTCATTTAACGCGGCAATCGAGGCACGATAGCCTAGCAGCATTCCTAGCGGCCGAGAGCGGTCGGGGTAGCTGAGAAAAGTCTCTTGTCGGCGAATACGACACTTAAGTAAGTACCAGTATCGGGTCGAATTGAAGGTACACTGACAGACGACTCCATGACGCACCTGGTAGCAGCGCTGTGTTCTGACACGAAGAAACCGTACCATGGGCCGTGCAAAACGTCACTTTTTGTCAAGAGAGTCTTACGTCTTGTCGGCCGCGGCTCGATGGCAGTGGTTAAGGCGCGGAGCTGTACTACCCTCGGACGGCAGCGCTATGACGCCAAGGACACTGTCGAGGAACGCCTGCCAGCCGTGCTGGACGACCAAGTGCTGGTATCGAGCAAACGCATGGGAGGTCGTACTTGACGCGACACTGCACTTTGCGAACTGTTCGATCCGAAGCAGATCGTCGCGCCACGTCATGACTTTGCCGTGTACAACTTTTGGACCATTGTATAACATGGTTCGGACGCGCGTTTGGTTGGGTGCGACGCGTTCGAGGACGTACCTACATTGTGAAAACACGCCATTTCAGGCTCAGAACTGGGTTTTCTCGACGCACCAAAAGAGCCGCGGGCGCCACATGTGGTTGATAGGGTGGAGGACGTCTTGGCTGGAAATTCCCAAA